GAGAGCAGAATATAGAAGCTGTCAGTTGGTGCAAATCAGAATCTCTGGATCAAGAGAATCCCACACTTCTCCCCTTTAATCTCCTTGTAAACCTTTTTCAAAAGCCTGTTCTGCTACATGACCAGAGGAGTGTAAATCCCATCATTTTAATTGCTCTTAAATTCATAAAATTGTGTAAGTTGTGGGCTACTCTTCTGTTTTTATTACTATACAGATATTATTGTCAGTGTTAGAGGTGTACATAATGACAGCTTCTGCTTTTGATAAGGCTGCCAGAATAGACTTGCATTAGCTTTGTGTCAGAAAAGCTGTGATCCTGGGAATGAATGGCAAGAAAAGAGATAACAGGGAAGGTAAAATATTGTGGTTTTAAACCTCTGGACATTCCTGGGAATGAGGTTTCTCAGTAGTCATTGGCTTGAAGTGACTTCTGTCATACAGCAACTAGACAATCAGAACGGTATCTGACAGTGGTACTGGATTAGGGAGCAGAGGAATTGCAAGAAGGAAGTAAAAGGCATACTAGACCTTGGACTTAGAAAAGTGTGCCTCAGAGAGAGAATGATCCATTAGATGAAGAGGAATACGCTGCACTGCATCTGTGAACCCCAGCTGATCCCAGGCAATGAGGGAAAGTAGGGACAATGCCATCATATCAATCTTTAGAGCCTCGTGGCGCAGTGGTTAAACTGCTGCACTGCAGCCAAAACTGTGCTCACGACCTGGGGTTCAAATCCCAGGAAGCCGGCTCAAGGTGGACTCAGCCTTCTTTCCTCCCGAGGTCGGTAAAATGAGTACCCAGCTTGCTGGGGGGGGGGAATGTAGACTGCATAACTAACTTGTAAACCACCCAGTGAGTGCTTGAAGCACTATGGGACGGTATATAAGCAGTACACTTTTTGCTTTACTTTGTTTAGAGCCCAGCAAGGCTGATGCTGATCATCACAGCATCCTTCAGTTCTTTTTGGAGGAACAATTTATAATCCTAGAATGGTTGACCAGTTCCATACATGTTATAGATGGTCATTTTTTTAAAATTATATCTTTAAAAACTATATTATTTTTTGCAGTATAAAGCAGTGCCTATTCCAGTGTAAACATGCTTAAGCTATCGTGAAGGCAGCAGAAGGAATTCAGTTTTTTGCAGGAGACTTGATGGTGCTGTGGCTTAAGTCAGCTTAAAATGTTCTCAGTAGTTCTTCTGTTGCTAAATATTGTGTTTATTTGTTTGATATAACATATCAAGAATTTATACGCAGTTGTAAAACATGAAATCAGGTGGTGGTGAGGTAGGAGAAAAGTTAAATGAATGAGGTCCCTGGAAGACCGTAACTCTAGGGCTGCCAGGTTTCAGAGTTTATTCTCAAGTTTTGGACCTAAAATCTCAGAAAACAGGTTTTTGACAGCCTCGTAATTTAGGGGTCATTCTCATGGCTTCTGATGAGTGAAAGGGGTACAGACCAGAAATAAACTGACAGGTGTAGTGTAAATAATTTTTTTTCTTCACTCTGTGATGGACTAATTTCTTCAGTCCCACTTGAATGTTATTGGCTTGGGATCAACTGCCAATACTGTTTTTTTTAATGCTGTTAACTGAAAACCAAACTCATAGACCCATCAGAATTCTTTTGTGCAATGCTGTTCCAAATTACTGCGTTCTCGGACCAGCTTACTTGGATCCTGCCTTGAGATGCTTCTCAGTTGTTGCAGTCCTGTTTGCTAACAGAAGTTTGATTAAAGTTTGCCCTAATCTGCTTCCCTTTCTACCCTGCATTCATTTTGAATGTAGTCACACAACTGGCTACAACTGGACAGAACACAAAACCAAGATAGGCCTCTTTGATTTTGATTTTTCAAAGGACATGCATTTGTCATCGCTTTGAGTGGTGGGGAAAGCTAGCAAATGCAGATCAGAAAGTGGTTGCTCAGCTGTCACTACTGTTTTGAGTTCTGCAAGCCAGATGTCTAGAGACAGCGCAGTGTTTGATATCTGTCCAAATATGTTCTGTTTCCACTTGCTGCAGTTTCTCTGGGATGTTCCCCAAATTCCTGGAGTCATAGAGCTGAAATAAATGACCAAATGCCTCATTCAACCAAATGGTACAATACCTTCAGCCTCTGAATGGTACCACAATCTTCAGGAGCCTTATTCTGAAAATCCATATGGTTCTACTATGATCCCATTATGGTTGATGGTGTGATTTACAAGAAAGTGAAATCTGCACAGGTACAAAAAGAAGTTTAGGAACAAAGGAAAAATGCATTTCTGATTAGTGAATTGTTGTTCCGTATTTTGGTGGGAGTGGCCCTCCCACAGGAACTCACAAAGCTGCCTGATTAAACTTCCACATTGATCTAAAGTCCAGGTTATTTCTGGCAGCCAGTGGATCCCAGTGGATCCCAAGGTTGGGCAGAAAGTCATCCTGTGTTAACTGTTGGAGTCTTGCTTGAAATGTCTCCATCTCCTCCTCAAATGTAGCTGCTTTTCACCCTTAGGCTTATCTTCCTAAAGCACAGTAGTGATCATTCTGAGCCTTTAGTTTAAGAAGTGCATTATAATATTTGGGCAGGAAAGGAACCTTCCCAGTATATCAAGGACATGTACAGCTGCACTATTTTGTCTGCAAACCTTGTGTGGTTTTATGATATTTAATTTTCCTTTTCAAATCCACCCGCCTTTTTCAGCAAAAAATATACAAAATGCTTTCCTTGAGCCAACACGAACAAACAGGGAGTGTGGGAGCTCTTCTGGGTTTTTGGGGGGGTTGTTTGTTTGTTTGTTTGTTTGTTTGTTTGTTTGTTTGTTTGTTTGTTTCAGGGGGTTGTTTTGTTTTGTTTTGCAAAATGGCTGAAATGGTCCATTTTAATATCTGAGCTGTTGTTTTCTACAACACAAAGAGAGACACATCTATACCTTTGAAAACTTAGGCTATGACTATATGCTCAAATACTGTGGGATTTCCTGCAAGTGTAAAATAGATAAATTCGCTTTTAAAAAACGTGATCACACAACACAAAGGCCAGCTCTCATGAATTTTGTCTTTTTTGGTTGTGACACAGAGTTGTTGTTTTTTTCTCTGCTGCTGTGGGCTTCTCATTTTTTTTCTAGCCAGAATGATTCAAACAAACTTTTCCCTTTGTGATCAATTGCTTTGTTCTCTAAAACAGTGGTCCCCAATCTTTTTGGAACTGGTTTGGGGGCTGGGCTCCGTGCACAGGGGGCAGTGGCACCCCCGTGCTTGCGGGTGGGCATGTTGCACTTGTGGGGGGTGTGCGAGTGTGACACTCCCCCCACAAATGTGACACTCCCCGCAAGTGCAACACACCCATCATGCTGCATGAGGGGGGCAGAGATCCATCTCCACAGCCCAGTCCTGTGAAGCCCATGGACTGGCACTAGGCCGTGGACCGGGGGTTGGGGACCTCTGCTCTAAAAGGATGGAGGGGCATGACTGTACGTAGTATTCCGGTTATGTACTAAGCTGGGCACGATTCTCTGGATAGCAGGAACACCTACGCTGGCAATCTTTCTCTCTGGTCACTTCGAAGTATTTGCTTTAATAAACTACCAAATTTAGCCCTAGATCACCTTATCACTGCATTGATAAAGCTATATCATCTATGCACAGACAAAACAACAACTACCACCACCACCAATCAATATGAAATAGAAGCAAATCTGACAAGCAACCACAGACTACTATGTTTCTGTGGTATGTGTGCATGTGTTTGTGCATTATAGAGAACTTTGGGAAACTACCCCCTTTCCCTAGCACCATGTAACCCTTTAAAGAGCCCACTGGCTTTACAATGAACAATAGAAAGACAGCCAGAGATCAACAGAGAGCAAGATCTAAGAGAAGGAGACTGTGGCGTGGGTTAAACTGCATCAGATTGAAGGGCCAGTGTGGCTATGGCAGTAAAACAATCTGTGGTCTTTGTATGGCTACCTAATCCAAGCAGAAGCATAAAGGAGGCTGCAAATCAAGTTGCCAATGTAGTCACAACTTCTATAATTGCTCCTCTCAAAACTATCCATGTGAATGAATAAAATCCAATCAGTTCCTAAAACAGTTACGTACTGTATAAATAATGTTATTGCTAGATTTGAGCAAATCCTCTGCAAACTTTCCTAATGTATAGGAATAAAATGCAGTTGTTGATAATATGTAGTCTACATTGCATTCAGAATAGTCTGACTTCACTCCTGTTCAGTCTGCTTTTTTTCCCTTTACAAAATGCAGGTATCTAATGTTAGGAAAAAGCAAAAAAAAATCATCAGCGTTCCCCCCACATTGTATATGTACTGCTAGGAAAGAAGAGTGGCATTTGTTGTGTTCCAAAAATAACACAGTTGGCAGAGGGGTAGGGTTAGTCCTGAAATAATGTTGGTGAGTCCCCATGGTGTCACTCCCTCCAGGAAGAATTCCACGGGTTCTAGCTCGGTTTGTCACTCACATAGCTTTTATTAAAGGCACAGAGTCAATCTCAAGTGCCCCTTTTTCCAGGGGTTGAGTTTCTGACAATAAACCCCTGGGCACAGTTATTTTGGCTGGTGGCCCAGTTTACTTTACTGGGGTCTCCAAAGGTCAAGGTCCAGAGAAGTGGGCAGGAAGTATGAGTACTGATCTGGTGTGCAGTCCAGTTAGGCTGTGCTGGTAAAGATGGGTGATGGAGACTGTGCTCTCTTGTGCTGCTCATCATGGAGCCATGCTTGCTACTGAGTCTCAGGCAGCAAACCATCTTCAGGCAGCTGCGCTCAACAGTTAGGTGAACAGTAATCTGCATTATATGATGGTGAGTCTTCACCTTTGCTTTAGAAAAGAAGTGCACTGAGGTATCATATCACACCTGAGCAATCAACATCAGGCATAGTCTTCGATTACTTTTTTCAAGAAATTCAACAACTAGCAGATTGAGCCCTGTTTTAGGGAATAATATCTGAAAGCAATATAGGATCTGCAAAATGACCATTCTTTATACCTTTTCCTCCCTGCCAGATACAAGGCAACTTCAGCCATCTCCTCCATGGCCTTATGATCCATCTTATCCATATCTGGGATCAATTGCAACTCCGTCAGTTCATCCAGCAACACCAATTTCACCTGGAAGGGCTAGTGGAATGTCCTCTCTCTCTGCAGAAATTTCAAGCCGACTGACAAGTAAGTTATAGAAGCGAATATTTATGTCTCTCTTTTTTAAAATCTATAAATCCACAACATCTGCTGGCAAGGAGAGAAGGGTCTCCTTCTCTGCTACTCTTCTAGGACATTTTAATGCAAATCTTGAGTGACTCATGAAGGAGAAGCTGCCCACTTCTATCCCCTCCATGCAGAATTTCCCCTACGCTTCAACTCCTGTACTGTCGATCTTGAAGTACCATTGTAGGCTATTGCAGTCTTGGTACTTTATTTTTCTTCCAAAATGCACTTCTCAGCCTCTTTGAATGAGAGCTAAGGAAACTGCAATAGCTTTTAATTGTTCTCCTTTCCAACATGCAGGAACAAAAGAATGGTTTGTTCATGCTTGGTTCTGTCTAGTTGGGTCCCCCATTACCACCTCATCAGCCCAGTGAGCTTTTGAAGCAGCCCTTGGGGCTATTTCCAAAGCAACAGGATACTTTACCTGGATGCCTCTTCTGAGTGACAGTCAGAAGAGTGAAAAGAACCATACTGACACAGTTTCTAGAATACCTAGCCATTGACAAGAAGACCATTATTTTACACATTTAGAACTTTATTGTTGCTTTTTAAATTACAGGATCAAAACAGCAGGGATTCAAGAATGGCAAGCTATTTATTTCTAAAACTGGCAGCTCTTATGGATAGTTCAGCAGAACACTATGATGGAATATAAAATCAGATTTAAAGGACAGGGCAGAGATGATAAAACATCATAAAGAAGGTCTCCTTGCTGTTACCTGCTGGTGTTCTTCCTCTTCATTGGCTATAAATACATTCATAGCAGGAAGTAATCATAACAACACATACGAAGTACTGCCTATGTTAGATTGGTTTAACACCTGAGAAGCTAGGTGAATATTTGAACACTTTTGCTGACTTCAATGTTGGCAAATGATTGAATACTTCATTTTTAAGTCTCCTGCTCTCGTGACTTGTGAAAATCTTCCAGGTGAAGTCTTTCCCAGTACTTTATCCAGAAATGGGGAAAGGCAATTGGATGGAGGCTGTGGGAACAACCAGACTAATTATTTTACAGCATAATTAGCATGCTAGATAGGTCATTGTTTTAGGATATCTGTCTGCAGAGCCAGAGGTTGGGAGTACAATTCTCCACTGTGCCTCCTGCAAGAAAAACCAGCCTGTGCAGCCTCAGGCAAGGTGCACAGTCCCAGGATGCTCCCAAAAGAAGGGAATGATGAACCACTTCTGTGTATCCTCTACCTAGAAAATCCTGGAAACAATCATTAATTGGCTGGGTAACTGCAGGGCCTGAGGCAGGCAGTTCATTTCTTCACTCTGCATCCCACAAGGGCTAGCCAGCCTGTGTGGCTCTGGGCAAGCAACACCATCCCAGGGTGACCCCAGAAAGAAATGGTAAATTATTTCTAAAAAATCCCACCATAAATCAGAACTGACTTCACAGGACACAATAGTATCAGTCATTAGTAAGTAGAATTTTTGAACCGTTTGATGGCTCTAGTGAACATCTGGCACTAGTGACTAAAACACACTAAACTGGAAGCAAATCCCACTGACTTCACAATGATGTGTTCTCAAGATTAGACTTGGGCTTCTGGGCATGATCCTATATCATTGTACAGCACACGACTGTTCTACTTGCTGGCTGTCCCTCAGTAAACACATATTTTTTACCAAACATTGTGAATAATATTCACAGGTAGTGCTCAAAACTCTGTATTAATGCTTTGTTACCTTCAGTTTAGGATTTTACTCAATTCTGTTAGGCCAGTGTTACTTCTAGTTGCTGAGTAAATCACATGAATGGTGAGTTTGTAACATGTTTACAAGTGAATTTCTTTTGGAGGCAGGGAGTCTGTCTGTAAAAGAATTTTTTTATTAAAAATCCTTTTTGCTTGCAGTTTCCTTCCTTTCAGGTCTTTAAGTGAGCGTGAATGCATTTTGTCATTAAGTAAATGTAACTCGTTTTATGAGGTCTTTGTTTTTGAACTATGATTTATACTTTGAGCCCCATTTTGTGTACACATTTTTAAAAGCCTCTCTAATCTTCATATTCCATCACCAAATTCTCTTCTCTATATTGCATAAACGCGTACAGTAAACTTAATTTCTCATTTTGGGAGAGGATGGGAGAAAAATGCAGAGTTGAAGTTTCTACCCGGGTTTGGAGGGAAGCATGAAGGGATGGATTCAGTTCTTTCCTCTCACATTGGTTAAATAACAGGAGGTGGTTATCAGATACTTTGTATTACAATTGTTTAAAAATAAGGTTTATGCCAAGAAAAAAATCAACCAAGAAGAGAAGGTGAAATAGTGACATTTTCACTGGTGCTGAGGAGGAGCTGTTATAAAATATAATTCAATTGATACACAGTTAAAATTGCTGCATTTTTCCTGGCATGCGTTCAGTGACTTTGAATAGCAGCAGGACAACAAACATTCACCAGGTGAAGCATTTTCCATCACAGTACATTTTATATTGGGGCGCCCAGTGTCGTGAAGTGGATAAAGTAATGGACTAGGACTCCAGAGACCTGGGTACAATTCCCCAGATGTGCCGCGGAATTCATTGGAGGAGTGTGCTTTTCTTTGACAGGATCCTACTAGAAAAAAAAGAAGAAGTGGCAAGTCCTATTCCTAGACAACATTTCAAGCTGAAATCTGATCTGCTAAGGAGGCACATCCAGGTGTTCAGTAGTCCTGTTGAAGAAAAGCACATGATGATTACGCTTGGCATATACAGAATTAAGACTATAGCATGTCACCGAAATCTTCTGAGAAACCTGGGGATGTATATCAAAGAGAACTGCTGCTGAGCTGACAAGCTTTCAGAACCTGACACTGCAGCATGTCTGCCAGGCCCTTTTAATCCAGTCAGGCTGCAGACTGTTTTTGTTTTCTTTCTCCCAACTACTGACTCCCACCCCCCACCCTTTTGTACCTGCACATTCCTTTTTTGCAGACTCTATACTGTGTCTGAGGAGGTGTTGCCATGAGGACAGGTTTCTTTATTGTTATTTTAATGCCTTATAATAGCTGGCAAGCATGAGGAGCCATGTTCTCTGTTAATTGGAGCCTGTCTAGAAACTTTCTTGTAAGAGGCCATTATCTCTTTAATCTGTTTTAGCAGGAGGGGAATAATGAGTGAATGCTCTTCAGTCAACAGAGGGAAAGAGTTTAAGTGCAACCATCACTTCAAGCATGGCTCACAGGATAAAGCAAAAGCATATTTCCTTCTCTCATAACCTTATCCCTCCGGGCAACACAAATATTTCAGTGCAATGTGCCTCAGACACCAGACATGAAAATCAACGCCTTGCTCGTCTCCCAGTTGACCAATTGCAAAACAAAAACAAGGTCATCTGCTAAATATGGATTGGAGCAAACTAGAATACCGTGCCTGAAATCCTGTTGTGTAGTTACACAAACAGCATAACTTTTAGTCATTAATTGCCATAAGTTAAGAAATCCCTATAGATATTATCTGTTGTACACTGAGTCACACAACTCAGTATGCAATAGATAATGTCTATAGGGATTTCTAAACTTTTAACGTTTTGTGTCTGAAAGTTACAGCAATGGTGCAACTGCACAACAGAATATTAGCCAAAAAGTTTCCTCTCATACTGTCTCTAGATATAGAATCAAGCTCCATCTAGTGAGACTTCTCAAATCCTTAGATGAGGCCAGTGATGTAAACTCTATTTGACAAGGATGAATAGAAGTGAGGAAGAGGTTTGATGTTTGCCAACACTTTCATCTGTGTTGAAATGAAGTAATTTTTTTAGTGATAATCACAAAATGAACAAAATATGTTTACTTGTTTTGAGGGAAATTGCAATGACCAGAGGGGATGTGGTGGCGCTGTGGGCTAAACCGCAGAAGCCTGTGCTGCAGGGTCAGAAGACCAAGCAGTTGTAAGATCGAATCCACGTGACGGAGTGAGCTCCCGTCGCTTGTCCCAGCTCCCGCCAACCTAGCGGTTCGAAAGCATGCAAATGCAAGTAGATAAATAGGGACCACCTCGGTGGGAAGGTAACAGTGTTCCGTGTCTAAGTCGCACTGGCCATGTGACCACGGAAGATTGTCTTCGGACAAAAACGCTGGCTCTCTGGCTTGGAAACGGGGATGAGCACCGCCCCCTAGAGTCGAAGACGACTGGACAAAAATTGTCAAGGGGAACCTTTACCTTTACCTTTACCTGCAATGACCAGGCTTCCCACAGTGTATCATCTTCCTACTTGGTTAGAGTCACCTACATAAGCAGTCCAAAACAATTATCCTCACTCTAATATTTTGGCTTAAATTCTTTGCCCATAGTGACATCACTACTCAAGAAGATCTGATTGGCTACACAATGTACCTGATGAGATCACAAAGTAAAGGAGAAACAGTCTTCATCGAGTGGAGGAGGGATAAATGCGCTGAAGCAGGGGTGGGCAAATGCAGGGGCCCCACATGCATCTCCCCAGGGGCTCCAAATGTCCTCAAATTTAGAAGGGGCACACTATTCACACTCCAACTATTTTTAAAATTACCTTTTTCCAAAACAAAATGTGTGTAGCTCAAAAGCTACCCATGTGTCCTGTAAGGGATATGAGGCAATTTTGCTATTCGGAGAGGGCCTAGCTTCTCATCTTTGTCAAAATTTAATTTTTAAAAAGTAATTTCTCTGATTGCTAGAGGGCCCAAGGGGACTTTCTCAAGAAAGTTAATTTTGTAAGAAAAAACCCTGTGGAGTTGACATGAGTGCAACTTCAGTCCTTCCGATTTTAGGAACAGTTATGTGCAGCTCCCAGACCTCTGAACATTGCCCTATCCCTACACTAAGACCGGGGGGGGGGGGAAGCGGGGGAATGATGATTTCAAACAAACATGGGAAAAGTTAACATTTTCCACAGTTGGGATTTTTTTCTGAAACATTTCAGAGCCCCTTAAAAGCTCTACATTTGCTTTTGATACAAAAATATTTGACAAATCTAAAGAAAATCACATGATCTGTTTGGCTGTTTCTTGAGAGTTTTGAGCTTTCATTTGGCAAGCTGAGAAAGGCTTGCAGTCTTAACACTGATTGTTTTCTTTACTTATTTTTAACTTATTATACCACTTTACAAGTATAAAAAACCTCTCTCAGCATATTGTTACACAAGGCCTCCTTGTGTTTCAGCGACATGGACTTTGGCCCCCAAATCTGGCTGTAATGTCACCACTGTCCTGAGTCAGCCCTTACCCCATCTTGAGTGATGGTCAGACACAAGAAATGTGTTCTTAATACTGAGGCATGTTTGCACAAGTGAAATCGGTCCTTGAAATAGCTTCTTCTTAAGCCTTTAACATTGTAAAGTGTTACTTCCAGAACCTTGCCTTGGGCTCAGCAACAGAAAACAGTGGAGCTCATCCAAGACTAGCAGAAGGTGTCCCATGTGCCCATCTCAGTTAGTAACCTAACAATATAATTTCTTGTGATCTCAAAATACAGAAGAGAAGAAAAAATTGCCCTGGTTTTCCATTAATTTTTAACGTAGAGCACAACTTCCAAAAGCTTTTGATACAAGAGTATTACAAATGTTTCATTGTTGATATAATATAATTTATTTTATATAATTTATATGTTACACATAGTATCCTGCCTTTACTCCAGAGAGCTCAGGGTAGCATATGTGGATGTCCTCTTACTGCCTTTACTTTCAAAGCAACCAATTGGTGGGATCAAGATCATCCACTGGATTTTAAAGCAAAACTTTTAAGATATCAAGATTTATTTTAAAAGGATGGTGAACTAAGGTCTAAAGAAGAGCTAGAGTCACAGAATGTCTATATAGATTGGTGGTCTAGAGCACAGTTGGAATCTAGATATAGAAAAGATAAAATAGAAGGTTTCTACTTAGAGCAAACGATTTTTGATAAGCTTTTCTTAGGTTCAAAAGAACAAATTGTCAAAAAAATGTATAATTATATACTGGAAATTAAAATGCAAGATGAAATGGTTAAAGAATGTATGATTAAGTGGGCACAAAACATAG